GGCAGAAGATATTACCAAAAGATAGGGTTTTGTGCGTCGATTCGAGTCAGTTTGGATGGCCTGACTGCTGCTTGCGCCTTTCGAGGTGGCCGGTTGCGTCAATCACAACTGCTGCCTTTATGGCATCGCAATAAGACGCGATAGCGCCAAAAGCAACCGAGGCAGAAGAGGCAAGCAGCACGGGGAGACTGAGGGGTATTGACACTGACCAGAGGTGCCCGGAAGAGGAGGGAAAACGCTGTCCGATTCGCGGGCGGATTAGGTTCGGTCGTCTCCGTCGCCAGTCACTTTCCACCCTCGGGTCTGTATGTATGCATGCTTGTGTGTGTATGTGTGTGTTGTCCAGGTCTGTATGGCTTTTTTATGTCCCTCGTCGGACGGTTTCGCCCCGCCCTTACTTGGCTCACGATCGGAACCAATGGCCTGGCCGGTGGAGGTGGATCAGGCCGCCGAGGAGGGTTATTCAAGCCTTGAGCTACAGCAGAGTTCGGACAACAATAGTAACTATGCCAACGAAAGTTGTTGTGCTGGCGGTGTTGTTGATAGTGGGCATTTTGATGCTGATGCCAATCTGGGGCCGAACGGATCCGACTCTCTCAGACAGGCCTGTCTGGTACAGCATTGTCGTCATGTGGCAGGCTCGAGTACAAATGAGGGGCAAAGGTGGCCGATGGTGATGATGATGGTTGTTGTGGCAACAGAGTTGACTGGTGCTGCTGGTAGAGTCGTCATCACAGCAGAGGCAAAACACGAGTTGGGCGCTGATGTGAGGGCGGCCTGTGCCTCGGAGACTGGGCCGAAGTGCCAGGACGGCTGGTCGTAGGCGTGTGTATTGTGGCAGAGACATGGTGTAAAATTTCAAAGCACAAAGTGAATGTAGGCAAGACAAGTGCAAATGATTGGCTTCACACTGAATGGCCAGGCTAAGAAGGAACGTGGACACACATTTTTTGTGTCGACTTTATGAGAGCTGCTTCATAAAATCACACCTGTCCTCTCTGCTTCAGCCACAACCCCTTCCACCCCCACCCCCCCTCCTCCCTCCGCACACAGACACAATACCACAGCCTTCTCCACTCGTATCCAAATCCAATTCAGCCTCTTTCAGAATAGGCTATCAACAGGTTAGGGCCCAAACACCTATCACATTCACTTGCACATGCAAACTCATTTGCCTGGCCGACTGCAAAGACGAAAACGCGCACGTACCTTCATACCCACCCACTGGTGGATGCATGCACACGTTGGACACCACTACACCAGCTGAAGCGAGAGATAGAGAGAAAGAGAGAAAGAAGTCATGTACAAGCTGCACCAGAGTGTGTCCAGGTTTTCGGCTACATCAGCTTTACTATCTTAAATAGCAAAATTAACTGCCTCTTTTAGTCTCTCAGTTCGTCTCATTATTATCCCCAATTTGGGGGGATGGCGTCTGTTGGGACAAAGATGATATTCTCCTTTCACACTTTTCTCTCTTCATCACATTGCCGTAAGTCGCAACTTTTCTCTTCCCTTTCACATATGAATGGAGTTCTTCTCTGGCCGGCCTGACTTTGATCCAATCTGCTATGCGACCCGCCCCCCGAAAGACCCCACCGACCCTGCGCCAGAATCCCCTCTTTCACTTACATCCCTTCGCATGTTCTCTATCACACTCGCCACTTCCAAAGCCCTGCTGCCACTTGGCTCACCGGTTGGGAATGTGGCCGGGTCTGGTTGCTGGGCCTTGGATTTTATGGTATAAAACCCCTTCACTCCACTTGACTCCATCGCGTCTGCTGGTGCATGTGCATGTAAATGTACACGTGTTTGTGCTTGTTTGTTCAACCCCGTGTTTTGATCTTCCAGGCCCACCGACGCGTGTAGACAGAGGCAGACGCTGATGCCAGTACGTACCGGTGATCATGTCACTCGTGCAACTGGCAAAGTCTGCGGATGCTTGAGCGTGTAGTCAGCTCCGGAAGAAGTATCTTGTCAAAAGAAGTGTCTTAGAGCTCGAAGACGTCTAACAAAGTCCGCTCGAGTGCAATAAAAGTGATGAATAGGGGTGAAATGACTCCTTCTGAGGTGAGGATAGCGATGCCAATGCTTCAAACGACTTTCACAACTAATCTTTAGCTAAGAAGCATGAATAAAGGGATAAAGGTATGCAGGATTAAGGCTTAAAACATCCAAATTTAGCAATTGTAAGAAACGCCACAGCACTTGGCTTGACAGGTAGTCATAACTACGACTAATTCGGACCATGTTTGTGCTTGTGATTAACGCGATTCCGCGTCTTGCCATTTGTCAAGTTGAACAATGTGTCCACTGACCGTCAGATAATCAAATTTAGTATGTTGCCCCAACCAAATTGCAAAAACGAGGCAAAACCAATACCATACCAAGCAAAAGGTCACACCATCTTTGTCTTAATATCAGCAATCTTGATCAGTTTGAACTTGCTATGAGAATGATATCCTGCCTAATTTCGTCCATTATCGAAGGAGGTAATATCAACTATATGGTACCAGCAAAGCCAATAGACAGCTAGTCAAAAGCAATTCGTCGTCGTCTTCTGATAGGTTCGACCTGCGTAACTTTTCTTCGCATGCTTTCGCTTGGAATGAAAGAATTGTAAACCACGCGAAACCACAAAACTCAAAATTTTCTCGTATAACGGATGAATAATAATAATAATAATAGTATTATTAATATCGATATATATATATATATATTGTTGTTACTATTATAAAATATATATAATAAGAATAATGATAACCATTATTTTCGATATATATATATATATATACATAGAAAATGTATTCAGGGGCCAGAATCGCAAGTGCCTTGATCTCCAGATGAAAATAATCCTGCATTTAGTGAAATTTAGAACATCAGACCTTATTTTTAGCTCTTCTGTGCTTGAACAAGTTCGGCTCTATGGCCCGTCTATAATCGAGGAAACGACAACAGAGCTCAAATTCGAAAATATCCCAATTTGAAAGCAAAATATGCCCTCAATGACCT